GAAGAAAGAACCGTAAAAAAAAAAAAAAACCTCTGCTGATATTCTAATAATAGCAATAAAGTCAAGATTAATGATTAAATTAAAATATCTATCTTGCATGTGATATTAATTGTTAGATTAAAATGAATCTACGAAAAGGGATATCAGTCAAAATACCATCGATATTGAATTTTTTTTAAAACAATTAGAGTGTTCCAGTTAAAATAGCCTATAATTGACGAGTTTCAGTATAGTACGTGGATGAAATTCAAACAAATTAAGTGTTTTCAAGGGTTTTTTTTAAAAAAATTATGTTTCTAAACTGGAAACATATTTTCGCATGCGCAGACAAACTCGTTGATTAAAGTCGTTCTTTCATGCTAGTTGCAATCTTCAATGGGGTAGTCGCCAGCTCACCCATGTGGAAAAAACCTTCTATCGTGTTAATATATTAACATTTTGAGTATTTTTATGTTTTAAAAATGTTTTTTTTTAATAAAAATAAAAATTAAATTGATTTTTAAATAATTTTTTTTTATATTTTTAAATATTTTAATATGTAAATATAAAAAAAATTAAAAATATTTTAAATAAATAATATTAAAAAATAATTACCATCACATCTTTAGAACTACAAATAAAAATGTGCTGGCTTATGGACATAATCCCATATTTATCATTACTTTCATGTTTTTGTCATCAGGTTATCAACACGTCAACATTAAGAAATGTAAAGCATCCATACTCTCAACATTAACTATTTATTTTTATATTTTTAAAATATTTTTAAATAAAAATATTTTTTATTTTTAATTAATATTTTTTATGTTTTTAGATATTTTGATGTGTTGATACCAAAAATATTTTTTTAAAATATAAAAAATTAAATGTATTAATACCAAAAATATTTTTTTAAAATATAAAAAATTATTAATCTAATATATTTCTAAATAAAAAACACTTTAAAAATAACCACAACCACCTGCCTCTTAAAATATATAATGAGTTTTTCTTTCACTCGGCGTGCTATCTTCAAGGATAGGTCAGTCGAATAACCCATTCACTGTCCTTGCTCACATTACAATCTTCCGTTGCCTATGTTCAGGACCGGTTTTGGTTGACTTTCACCATTAAAATCCAGTTGACTCGACAATCGCAAGCTAACTCGAACCCAATTTATGAATCCCACTTCCCTTACTGCATGATCTCACAACAAATATAAAAATAAAACAAGAACCTATAGTATATAAATTCCGAGAAATGCTAAGAGTAAAATAACATGTAAAATAATACCTCAAACAATAACTCGATAAAAATCCTCAAAATAAAGAAGTTTATACTAGCTTTGGTGTCTATGCTTCGCCGTAAAGCCATATTATTTTCTTTTTTCATAAAAAATAATTTACAAATCATGTCAGAAATCCTCAAGATGGAGAAGTTTATGTGATGCAGGAAAATGAGCTCGAGCCTGGGCCAAGTGTTGGGTGGGTTAGGCCCGTACACGAAGTGGATTTTGTCTAGTCTCTGGCCATTAGCCCATGAACAATACCCGTAAACAAACTAGGTTTTGATCTCTTTCAACCTCACCTCCTAATTGCGAGTGCAGGGCCTGCCAAGCGATGTTAAATCAGGTGATCATTTGTTTGCCCCAGCATAGATCACCGTCGTCTGTTGATTTTTTTTTTTAATGATGTGTGGTTGTTGATAAATTCATTTTTTTAAGATTAATTATAAATATTACAAGGATTTTTTTATGTTAAATGGCATAAAATTGATGAATAACATGAGGAATAAGTGTTTGTTTGGTATTTTAGTAGTTTTTATTCTTCAAAATACTTTTTATTTTAAAAAATAAATTTATTTATTTTTTTAGATATTTTTCAGTGGTTTTATTAGTGCGTGGGAGCCTAAAGGAAAAGGGAAGTTGGATGAATCCATGAGCATACGGGCATGTGATAAAGCAGGAAGCTCCTCCCAATCCACGAGCACGCAAGAATCGAGCACCGTGACAAACAGACAAAGCTCCTTGAAAACGTCAGATTAAGAGGAGTGCATGCATTCCTGGCATTTGCTTACATAAGTTGCTTTCAAGTTGGGGGAGACAGGGACAAACACAACGCGTCTGGGAAATTAAAGATAACGAAACGTATGGATTTTTATCACGAGAAGCTTGCTATGATAGGGATCCAGTATCGATCAAAGCTAGGCATGTTGTGTTTTACAACAACAAAAAAAACACTCTGCTTTTCAAATTTCTAATTATACATGTTTATTGTCAAAGAATTAGGTAAAGTATAAAAATATGATTTATATTATTCTATAATATATCTTTTTAAATGAAAACTCTTTAATGTTAAAATTTGTATAGATCTATATTACCTTGTATTTTATTTTTAATTAAATAAATGAAAATGGTAGGATTCAAACTCGTGATCATTTGATCATCAAAGTTTTAATATTATGTCAAAAAATCATTTCAACTCAAAAACTTAAATTATGAGGTGAGATTTCAAAATATAATTTATATTATTCTTTAACTTATTAACTAGCTAGATATAAACAATAACATAAGTTAACTTGAAAATTATTTTTTAAAATAAAAATATAATGTAAATGAGTAGTTTTTAAGTCAATATTTTTATTAAAATGACTTGAAAAGATAAATTGGTTTTGTCAGGTCAATATTAAGTTTGATTTAACTAAAGAATTATCTTATATTATGTTTTAGATTTTGAATTTTCTGTATCAACTCGCAAAGCCAAGCAGAGTTTAAGGGGTATGATCTTAAATATTTTCTTTGCGTTTCTGCAGCTATAGTGTTGTGTAACTGCAGGAAAAGTCCAAAGGAAACTATATAACATTTCATGCATGCAAGCATCACTTTTCTTTCTCTCCTCTTTATTGTTCTTTGTTCGCTCTTTCTTTTCTGTTAAAATCAGATCATGTTCTTCCCCCCCATATGCCATATAATGGCTCCACAAAGATGGAAAAAGACAGAAAGCGCGTGTAGCCGCCCATGCTGCCTATAATCTATTCCTCACCGCTGTTTGGTTAACGAGAAGGAGTTGAGAGAAAATGGATATAAACAACAAGAATACTGACATTTCATTGTGGATTCGCAATGAAACGTTGCCTGAAATTTTCATCTTACACAACTTGATCCTCTTTCAATTCTTTCAAGGTCACCGGAACCCTTTCACGTCAAGAGAGATTTATTAACGTCGAGCACCAGTTGCGAGGATAATATCATTATTCAGCAACCATCAGATTGTGCTCGGGCAAAGACAAATACAGAGGGTCCATGATTTCACGAGGGAAGCTGAGAGACAGGGACAACGATGGTATCCTCAGAATTTTCTTTCCTCCAAAGCTTTATTTTTGGCTTAGATGACATCATTGGATCATCCAGATTGACAAGAAGATACATACATACATACATACATATATATATATATATATTTATGTATGTATATAAAAGAAATTTCATTGATAGGCCATTGTAATAATAAAAAAAAGGTTTTATAGCCTCAAATGACATCCAAGACAAATAAAAAAGGATTACGTTCAAAAAAATTAAAAAATTGGAGACAAAAAATTACATGGTATTAGAGACAAGGAAAAAAATACCCATTAATTTTTAAGATATCTAGTGGCCATCTATTCATAAAACATTTCTTCCTCTCGATAAACACTATCATCTATTAAAATTATTTTAAAAGTTATTTGAGAGTATAATAACAATTATTTTTTAAAATATTTTTTATTTAAAAATATATTAAAATAATTTTTTTTAATTTTTGTAAAAATATTTTTGATATTAACACATTAAAATGATATGAAAATATACACAAAAAATATTAATTTAAAAAATTAAATTTTCTTAGATATAAAAATAAATAAATTCTTAATTTATACAAATTCATTCCATGAATATTGATCAAAAACTCTTTACGAGTAAAAAAGTCATAATTGTTTTTTAAAAAGTTAAAGGTGTTGAAAAAAAAAATTATCAATGGCAGGTTGTAAGTAAAGCGTGTGCATGTATAGACACACATAATATTTTAAATTAATTTCCACATCCCAGTGGCCCGGAATTAAACTTTTTTAGTCAACTTAAATGAATTTAATTTCTACATTATTATTTTATATTAAAATGTTTAAAAAGTGTAAAAAAGGTCAAACATAAATGAATTGTTTAAGATACACACACTTGACTGACAACCTGCCACCGAGATATACATACATATATATATATATATATATATATATATATATA